CAATCTCCCAAATCCCTGTGTGTTCCCTAAGGCATAGTCCATGTTTTCCTTAAACACTTCATAAGAAGTTATGATCGGGAGTTTCAAGCAGTTTACACAGGTGTTCGCCATGGGCAGCATTCTTTTGGAGGAACATTCTTCACTGCTTTCATGGAGAAACTCAATGGATGGTGCTGGAGAAAAGCCAATTGGTGGTATCTCCTTTGCTCCAGTTGCAAAAACAAGGATGTTTTCAAGCTTGGATGATCCTTCATCTGTGGAAAAAAGTTGGCTTTTAATGTTGTTTTCGTTATGGAACTATTTTACCTTTAACAGTTGAAATTTTGTAGTGTAGTTGCCCCGAGACACATCAATAATGGACAGAAGGTAGCTGAAATCAAGCACAATCTTCCAATTGCAAGGTGACTACTCTACCCGCTTAGTCAAGTTTTGAACTCTCTAGTGACTTATGATAATAAGAAACTAACACTGTCCTAAGAAACAGTTGTCCATCATTAGTAAAAGTTATAGATAAAGTGGAGAATATTTGCTAAATACCTTCTGCATCCTGCAGATAATCTCTCCACAAAGGAATGACTGCCTCTTCCACTCTTCTCCTGTTACTTCCTTCCGGAGCAAGTCGAGGGGTGAAAAGGTCATCCACCATGTCAGCAGTTAATTGCTGGGGTTCATAGCAGAACAAAGACTGAAAACTGTCTGGATGTTGCTTAACAGCATCCAAAACTCCAAGTGTCTTGAGTCCTTCTTCAAACCTGTACAAATAAGCAAAGGTTACTTGTCTCTTACTAATTAATTGAGCTGAATTTCTTTTTGTATCATGATACTGAGGAAATGTTAGGTGCAAACCTAACCTTTGAAAAGGGCCCTGGACACGGTGAACAACATGAAACATCAGCAGATCATGCAGGAGGAGATCTCGATCACGGATAGTAGTTAAGCGTCTGATGCAACCTGCGCTGGCCATGTAGTCGAAAAGGGGATCTGTGGCTCTTTGAAGCTCTTCCACAGTCAAACTTTCAGACACCTAATAAAGTTTATCACAAGAGTAAAGACAGAAAAAAGGGACACCAAAAAGTTTTTTCACTCTGAGGAAAAAAAAAGAAAACCTTACACATGCACTGTTCACAATAACATTTGTCAATAAATCTTATGTCAAGTCAAAAGTTATATAATTTGTGAGTGGATTAACTTTTTTCAGTTTCTCATGGAGTTCTGCATCAGTGATGTCCTTCAAAGTAGGGCAAGCTGCATTTGGACCTCCAACCAAGCAAGAGAAAAGGACTGGAGAAAGGAAACGTGGGGCTGGACCTCCATGGACAAGGCTAACAGCTATTGCCCTTCCAGCCATAAAGTATTTGTCCTCCCTGAGGGCTGTAGGACAAGAAATATTTTACACAACTACATTTTTACCATAAAGATGTTGACAATAATTACAGGAAACTGGAGTCCAAACAAACCTGTACTATTCATTGCTAAATTTTTGCAATCATCTGGGCCTTCAAACATTGGAGATATGGACAAAGCATCAATGAGAAGACGCAGAAATTCTCTCCGTGGGCCACCCAAATCAACTGCCTCTTCATTTCTTCCGAAATCATCCGAAAATTTCACATTCATTGAGAAATGTGGATTGTATGTTACCCTCTTAAATCCACGTATGGCACCATCTAAAACTGCAGAACGATTGACATTAAATTTGCAGTTCATTCCATTGTCAATTTTTTTGGACAAATCTTCAAGAATGTCCTTCACATGCAAGGTCTTGGAAGAAGTTTCAGACCTAAAAATGGACAAAAAATAAAAGAAAAAAAGACAGGTCAGATAATTTGCTTCTCTTAAATAATTTTGGAAATCCACAAGGCTAACTGATTTATTCTTCTTTAATCCTAAACATTAAAAAAGTGAAATTATCCTACTCTAAATCACCAAGCTACCAAAAAAACAAACAAACAAATAAAACCAAATCATTTATCAAGTAGATGCTCACAAGTGAGTTTCAATACTGGCCAAAATGGCATGATTCATTTCCTCATCTTCAGAAGACAGATCAGAAACATTTGACATCACTGACAAATAAGTTGAGTAGTTGGCACTTGCGTGTGCTGTAGTTTCATCTTGGCAGACCTCACTGGTGGAGGAGGGGTTGAAGTTTGTAGCAGATGTGCTGGTGCTGATAGAGTTAGGATGTACACTGGCAGATGACTGAGATGAAGTTTGAAAATAAGGTGGAATATTTGCTTCGATGGTATCATGTGAGCAAAAAGATGAATAGTTTACTCCCTGATGAAAACTCTCCAACTCATTACTGTGGACGATGGGATTTTCTATGGTGCTGAACTGTTTACTTCTTGCCATGGCTCTTGTTGTTCGGGGAGAAACTTGGTATGTAGTTGTGCTCCTTTCTTCAGGATC